AAATTTATATAAAAATTTATTTATATAAAAAAATTCTACAATTTTCTAAAAAGTTATAAAATTATTTATAAATTCTGAAAAATTTTGAGAAAGCTTTTATGATTACAGCGATATTGTTGAAATGAAATCGAAAAAAATGTCAATTCGACCTTTGAAAATATTCAAAATATAAGATTACGTATCACAAATTTATATCAAAAATATTACAAATACATCGAACTTTCATTGCACTCTCTACATATGTAATTTTTTATCACTCGAGAATGTTGAAATTTTGATAGTTTCGAATCGATAATTTTTTGTCGAAACGACATCTTCTCGAAGAACTATTCCTGACTGGGTATTGAACTAAATATATTATACAATGTAGCAGATTATTTAATCTCAAGTATTATGTACTAGAGTATGCTCAGAATGCTTGGATCCTGATGGATCAAAACAGTATGATTCTAGAATATAATATGCAAAATTTGTTCAATTACGATTACAGAAAAAATACATTTTTTTTTATTAATACTTAATAACACTTTTACCTATTTTTATAATATGGAAGTAATAATACGACAATATATTTCATATTTCAAAATTACTCAATTTAATTTCTTAGCTTTCTACACGGACAAGACGAAAGTCATAACTTATAATACAATAAAACATTGTCATAATTTGCCTTCAAAGATTATGAAAACGTTTTATTATATATAAAATGCATTTCATGTAAAAAAAAGCATTACGCAGCAAAGAATACAGTAGTAAAACTACTGGTGATGGACTCTACAGTAAAATAATAAGTATATATACCTTTAAGTATATATACCTTTAAGTATCTTTATTTTTTTGTATATATATCTATATATTTAATAAATAGATTTAGTTGGCACTATTCAAATAGATATTTAAATTTATGATATTTTTTTCTAAGTGTACAGTTATCTTATTATGTCATATGTTCATAATAAATAAAAAATCTTATTAACTTCTTCATTTTATCTTTATCATTTTCTGAATGTATGTACGTTCCCTTCAATTAGTACGCCATTTAAAGGGATTTGATAATGTGAATCAATGAAAAGTTGTCTATGGAATTGCTAGACTTTGTATTCTAGGGACACTAGTCAAGATGGCACTGATAAGATAGCAAAATTGAATATTTCTGATTTATTTATGTCTATATAATTTGAGAATTTTTTGGGGAAATTTGGGAAAAGCATTTAAACATTTGGGAAATTTTTCTTGTAATTAACAAATGTTATCATGCGTCAAGTTAGCAGACAGCAATTTTATTTAATGTGTTTTATGAATGGAATCGATTAGAAATTATTTGGGTCTTTATTATTTTCATTTGGGAAAAATCATTATTTGATAATTCAATAGATTTACACATTATGAAAACGAACAAAACTTGGATGTAGTAGGTATAATACAATGAATATAGTAAATCTAAAATCATCAAAAATTAAGCCCGGATCTAATTATGCTTAGTAAGAAATTATGTGTAATAAGAAATCAACTTAATCATAAACGTAATTATATTCGACTAATTTTCTTCACTTTCAACTGTAATTCCTTATGGCTTAAAGTTTTACATTTATTGTACCATCCGAGTGAAGTTTGAGAACGCAGTCTAACATTGGAGTATTCAGATTTCGGAATAATAAACTTTGAAGATAAAAATATACAATGAAGAAGAAAATTTGTTAGTACGTATTATTTTCTTAATTTATAAATATTATTATTATTATTTAAATATAACTT